CCGTTGACTAGTTCTAAATGTAATAGATTTTCCCACCATTAAAAAAGAGTAATGGGCAGAAGGAATGTAAGAGATTGGAAGGAGAAAAGGGAAATACTCATAATCAAGGCATAATTACACTCATGGTGTTTAGCCAATCCTATCCTCAGCCCTAACCAGGAAGGACTGAATTGAAAAGTAAATATCTTCCATAAAGTTGAAGATTGTTTATTAATTTCAGTTATGTGGAACAAAGCCGAGAACCAAGACGGAAGCAATAATGAACAACTAAAATAACTATTGTCATATCTAAATAGTAAAGTCCTCACCTTTTAGTCACAGAAGACCCATCTCAAGCCCTCACTCAACATTTATTTCTCTGATTTTACATGTAATTTCAACAAGTTTTGTCCTCAATTTCTGGCTCACAGCAAACCTAAAACAATAAGTTTGAAGGGAACTAGTGGACTTGGAGGTCTCTTGCTAAATTTATGTATTCTAGAAACATCACATCACAGTTTGAAAATGAGAAAAAATAGAACTAAAAATTAGACTCAGAAGCTCAAATACTAGTGTGTGATTAATTTACACTTGTAGGCACTTCTGCTTTCCTTACTTGTACCCAGAACATATGACACATAGAATAATTGTCTTATTTAAAACAAGCCTACATTTCAGGGTAAACTTCTAACAAGGGTCTAAAGATTCTGCTCTTCCTCTCCCCTCAACACTCTCTACTTCCTAAGAAAAGACAAACGTTGATGAGATGGGTACCCTTGCTGGGGAGGACCCACTGTGGATTACAAGATCACTGGTACATATGTGGCTCACTTTCCTCATTCTCCCTGCTCCTTCTAACACTCACAGTTCATGCAGAAGACTCTGATGTTAGCTTCAATTTCTTTCTTCTTTGGAGACAACTGGAAAATAAAGAGATTTAGGCAAGGTTTAAAGGGTGTCATGGAGATTGAGACATTTGAGACCTTTGCTAAAATGATGGGCCACAGTTCAGTTGGTTGGAATCCTCTAGATTTGAGGGGGTTAATGTATTTGTTTGCTGGGGCTTCCGTAACCCAATACCACAAACTGGATGGCTTATAAGACAGAATTTTTTTCACTGTCCTGGAGGCTGGAAGCCCAAGATGAAAGCATTGGGAGTGTTGATTTCTATGGAGGACTTTCTCCTTGGGGTACAAATTGCCATCTTCTCTTTGTGGCCTCATATGGCCTTTTTTCTGTGCCAGCTTCTCCCTGGTGTCCTCTTTAAGTACAGCAGTCATATTGGATTAAGGCACAACCTGTATGACCTCACTTAACCTTAATTATCTTCTGAGAGACCCTATCTGTAAGAACAGTCATGTGACACTGGGGGTTAGGGTTATAACAGAAATTTTGGAGGTACACAGTACAAAGCAGTGATCCAAATCTAACTGATAATTCATTTTCTTGGATAGAAGTGGTTGAGGGATGATTGATGGGGCAGGATTCTGGCATTTCATTATCCTTAATCAGTATGCCATATAAAATATCCACATCCTTTCAAAAGCAACCACTCTTCCTCTTTGCACAACTGCCTATCATTTTTAGCCAACACACTCCCAAGACATACACACCTTCATGTTCTTGTTACTTTTTTTTCTCACTCTTTTTCAAAAACTGATAAAGAAGAGGAAACTAAGTGTAGAATAATATATTTAAGACATATTTGAGATGTAGGGATCCCAATGAATGTGTATTATTGTTTTAACTAGAATAAAAAATATCTGATGAGAACATTGGCCCTGCCTATAATTATTCCCCATGCCTCATCTCCCAGTGGAAGTAGAGTGGATTTATGAGCAGGTGCTAATTATGTTATATGCCTTAATTTTCACAAGATAATCTTAATCCTGTCCCCAGGATAAAATGGAATGAATACATTCTGGGTACCAGTCAGGGACTAAATTCATGAACTCAGTGTTGCTTAAAAGCCCATCTTATAAAGCAATGAAATAAAATAACATTACTTAGGGAATAATGCCTAAAGGATATGTGGTTAATCTATTCTTTTAGGTAAATTATGCTCAAACATGAAGCTACCAGGAGACATTAGTATGTTTCAGTTAGTTTTGAGATATGTCATAGCCACTTTACTGCTAGAAAACTGCTAAGTTTGCCAGTAATTTAATAAATTAACTAGTGTCATCCATATAGCAATACTGTCCTCACGGTTCCGTAATTTGATGTGCTTTTGCAAGAAAGAAAAGAAGTTAGAGTCAAGGAACTGGTATGGCTTACTCATGCTGCAGCTCCTTGGGTCACCCTTCCCAGTATATAGGAAATGCCTATGCCAGTTGAAGAGTAGGGTAAGAGCCCTGTTTCCTGGGCTAAAAGTGAGGAGTTATTTAAAAGGATACAATCTTTTAACGTAGTAATTGAACACCTAAGTGTACATTTATTGACCAACAGAAGTCAAGGCATTTTTTCTTTTCTTTTCAATTTGAGTCTGCAAACTGGAATTCTACTTTGTTTATCTAGTGCAAATCACACTCAGAAATTCACAATACATTTGGTATTATTTCCAGTTTTGCTCTATTTGTTCTATTTGAATTCATGAAAGGAGAGTTATTTAATGACATTCAGGAAGCAGTCTGAGAGCACAATCTCAGATTTTATTTTAATCTTTTACATTTAATTCACCCTCACCTAGTTGAACAGCAATTTTGTTAGCAGCTTTTATTCAGTATTTGTAAAGTATCTCATTTGGTTTGTTGCATTAAACAACAAACCTGTAATTCACTGGTTTATGTAAAGTTTAATCGTGTTGGGCAAACTCTAAGGCAATCCCCAGTGATCCTCACCTTCTGATGGGATGATTTCTTCCCTTGATTAGGGTATGGCCTGTGACTTGGTTCTAACTGGTAAATAGGGAAAAGGTAATAGGTTTCACTCCCAAGATTACATTATGTTAATAAGTCTGTCTTGCTAGCAGACTCACTTTAGCACTTACCCTTGCTGGCTTGAAAAAGTAAATGGCCATGTTGGAGAAACCCACTTGACAAGGAGAGGTAAGGGTGGTCTTTAGCTGAGAGCCAGAGAGAAGCCAGGGTCTGCAGTCTTGCAGCTAAAAGGAGATGGATTTTGCCAACTACAGTAGCTGGAACATAGATTCTTTTCTAGTCAAACTTCTAGACAATGCTTTAATTGCAGCCCCGTAATAAGCAGAGACTCAGTGAGACCATGTCTGGAGTACTAAGCCATAGAAACTGAGATGATGTGTGTAGTTATAAGTTGCTAGGGTGTGATAATAGAAAGCTAATACATTAGCCAGATCACTTATTTGTAGTGGCAAACATGTTTGGGACATAAACAACCTTTGGTAAGCATACTGCTCATTCACAGAAAGTGTACTGGTGCAGGGATTACAACTGGCTGTGCACATTTTGGATTCAGTGCTGTCACTTGTGTTTTGCATGGGACTATAGAGCAAGAGTTCTGACAGACTGGTTCAGTGGAGACCAATTATAAAAACTTCCTCTCCACTCAAGCACTTGTTAGTTATATTTTGTAGTTATTTTCTACAACTTAGCAGATGCATTTTAATAAGAAAGCAAGAATAAATTAAGAAAGCAGAGGTAGTAATTCATTTGCATAAAAGTCTAGAAGAGCAAGACTGACACCAGGGATTGTTCTGTTAGAAATACATAAGAGTGATAATAAGGATGAATATAAATGAAATTTAAAATACGATTCACATTAGTAACACATTTACCACCTTTAAAATGACTATATGTATGACTATAGAGAAAGCCAAAATATTGGTCTGTTTAAATTGTGTATATCTTCTTGATTCAATCTGGACAAATTGTATGACTAAGTTGTCAGTGCCTTCAATGTCTTCTATTTTATTAGAGTATAAGATTTCAAAATAATTTCAAGTTATCCTCTGTATTTCTGTAGTATTACAGTGTCTGTTATGATATTACCCTTTTCATCATGTATGCTGGTAATTTGAGTTTTCTCTCTCCTTCTCTTTGTTAGCGTGGCTAAGGGTCTGTCAATTTTATTTATTTTTTCAAAGAAACAACTTTTTGTTTTGTCCATTTTTTTCAATTATTTCTTTTGTTTCAATTTCATTAATTTTAATTATTTCTTGCCTTCTACTGCTTTTGCTGCTGATTTGAATTAAGGCTGTTTGTATTTGTAATGTATGTGGGATGCAGGTTAGGTGGGGTTAATCAATATTTTTAAAAAGATAATGTCCTGTGTTTTTTTAAAAAATTAACTTGGTTACAATTAAGTATTTTCCTTAAAAATGATTTTTAAATGTTTAAATGGCAGACTCTATTACTCAGTGCTTATAAAATATTTCATGAAAATTATCACAAAATAAGAGGGTCTCATAATATTTTGTTTTTTAAAAAATATTTTGTGGTTACATTAAAACATAGGATCATTAGATTTATGAGTTTTGATTTTATAGTTACATGTTAAGAAGGGGAGAAAAAAGGTTGAAACCAAAAGTCTAGAGCCCCTGAAAATGTAACCCATGGAGTTCTCCCTTTGCTGTCAGTCCTTGATGAGGTGCCCATCGAAGAGATGAGCTTTAGTTTGGGGTTAGGGGATCAGGTTGGCAGAGAAAATAGGCCCAGGTGAGGTCAGAAGCCCAGGTAAGAACCCTGAGTACATTATGAGGAGCTCCCCACAAAGAACAGAGGAGACCCTACAGAGCTTTACCCCTGTGGTCAGTCCTGGGAACAGACAGGAGTAGCATCTCCTTTGTTTTAGTATGGAATGTTCCTTCAGTGCTTCATTCTAAATATTCACCCAAATTCCAGGCATATTCTTTCCTTCTGACCTGAGGGCACACCACTCAGACCAAGGTCCTAACCTCCCTGAGACCCCCAGGGAAGAAGTGAGAAGTATGTAATTTCTGGCTCCTTCTGCCCAGGGCCTCCAGGACTGCCCAGAGTAAAGACCCATTCTCTTGTGTTACAAATGAATCAACCTGATGTATATTCCATGTTCCTCATTGTCCACAGGCCTGCATCTGGTGTTATTGAGGATTGGAACAGCTTCCTCAAAAACTGGTTTGAAAAAACTTATGAAAACAAACAGCATAATTTGTTTATTGAAACATGGAGAAATGATCTGAACAAATACTTTATTGAAGAAACTATACAAATGGCAAATAAATTGGAAAGATGCTTTACCTCAATGTCATCAGGGAAATGAAAATTAAAACAATGATGAAATACCAATACATACCCTGTTAGAATGGTGAAAATTCAAAACACTGACAACACCAAATACTGATAAAGATGTGGAGCAACTGGAACTCTCACATTGCTGGTGGGAATGCAAAATGGTACAGCCATGGTGGATAAGAAACTTGGCAGTTTCTTATCAGACTAAATGTACTTTTCCTCTGTGATCTGCAGTTGCCCTCTTCAGTATTTACCAAAGAAGGTGAAAACATAGGTCTACACAGACAGCTGCACACAGATGTTGATATCAGCTTTCTTCATAATTGACAAAACTTGGAAGCAACCAAGCTGTCTTTCAATGGGTGAATGGATAAATAATATGTGGTACAGTTAAATAGTGAAGTATTGTTTGGCACTGAAAGGAAATGAACTATCAATCCTTGAGAAGACATAGAGGAACCTGAAATGACTATTATTGAGTGAATCTGAAAAGGCTACATAACATATTATTCTAAGTATATGACATTCTGGAAAGGCAAAACTATGGGAACAGTAAAAAGATTAGTGGGTACTAAGGTCTGAGGGTAAATAGGTAGAGTGCAGAGTATTTCGGCATAGAGGAATATTACATGTTATACTTTTGTCCAGACTCACAGAATGTACAACACAAGAATAAACCCTAATATAAAGTATGGTCTTTTAGTGATAATGGTTTGTTAAGTACAGGTTCATTGATTAAAATAAATACACCACCCTGGTTTGGGATTTTGATGGGGTTGGGGATGAGGCTGTATGTGTTTAGGAAGGGCAAGGGAGTATAAAAACTTTGTACTTTCTGCTCAATTTGCTGTCAACTTAAAATTTAAAAAAATTAATGTGTGTGTGTGTGTGTTTGTGTGTGTGTGTAAAACAACTTCTGGTGCTACCTTTCTTGCCTTTTCCTGATTCACATGTCCGAATAAGGCAATTTGGTCAGTGAATGTGGCTGTCCCTCTGTGGTCAGGTATTTAGTTTCAACAAGAGCCCAGGAAAAGGTAATATTCACTTTTCAAAACCTGTTATACCTGTTTGGGAGATGAAGAGTCCAAAACATCAAGGGACTCTTCTTGGGTGTGAAGCTGCCTCCCTTTGTTACAGGTTCCAGTCAGCAAAATCATGAGTGACTTGGAGCTCCAAGAAGTCATTAGGACTATGGGGCCCCAAAGGTAGAGTGGTCTAGGCACTGATTGGTACTGATATTTCTTCAATACTAGGCCTTCAGATGAAGAATGGGGCAGAGGCTGGAGCTAGTAATTTGGCAAGACCTAACAAAATTTAAGATGTGTATACCCCGCTATCAAACAATTATTTCTAGGTATACCTTAGGGAAGCATTCAGAAATGTTCATTATAGCAGTGTTTGCAGTAGTGAAAAGTGGAAGTAAATTAAGCATCCTCGGTAGGAAGCACAGTGTATAAATGATAGAGTCTTGAAATAATGCAATAGAATACAGCAAGTAAGATAGATGAGCCAGATCTATATCTAAATATAGGGATAATTCTCAAAGCAGATGTCAAAAGAAGGATAAGTTTAGAAAGATATATTCAATATGATTCCATTTATCTAAAGTCTAAAGCACAGAAATTGAACATTGCTACGTATAGAAAAAGTATGAAATATGTACAATGATATGTACCTTAGGGTAATGCTTAGGATGAAAAGGGAGAGAAAGAGGTGGGGGTGTCTCTAGTTCTGACTGTAATGGTTAATGTATTAATAATACCTTATTAAAATAGTAACCAAAATTCATAATTCTTAAATAAAAAATATAAAGCTATAACATAATGCACATACACCATTTGTTTAATCTTAGTGATAAATTTTGAGGTTCTTCATTTATTTTTGTACTTTTCAAAAGATTTGAAATATTTTATGACCCAAAAAACAAATAGGGAGAAGAACGTTCATTCCAGTGAGAGAGGCTGATTTTGTAAGGCCCTGAGTATCAGGGAAGGACCGAATGAGTACAGAGAACTGAGGGGAAAATGCTGGATGGTTGGAGTGCAATTCTTCTGGGAGCAAGAGTTTCATGAGATGAGGCTGGAGAGGGAAATGGGATCTTGATTTTCAGGGCTTGGTTGTTCACAATTATGGATTTTGATCTAATGGCATTGGTAAACCACCAATTTGAGAGAAATCAAATATTAGGCTTGAATTCCTGTGAGAGAATCAAGTGAAAATATAGAGTACATAATGTGGGGATTAACTTTTGAGATTAAAAAAATGTTCTGGATGAGGAATATAAATATAGGAGTTGGCATCAAATTGCTGATATTTGAAGCTATGAAAGCACCCAGGAAGAGCACGTAGAGTGGGAAGATAAGGGGGCTAAGAACTGAACACTTAGGAGTCCTTGTGTTAAAGGCTGAAGAGCAGGGAGAGGATCTAGTGGAAGACTGAGCAGTCAATAAGAGGAAGGCAAATGGTTAGGAAAATAGTTTTAGAGCTGGGGAGGATATCTCAAGTGTACTGAAAACCATCAAGAGGTTAAGTTGAGTGCTTTGTCCCAAACACAAACCAAGAACATATTTCACAGTTATAGAGAGGGGTTGTCTTGAATGTGAATTAACTTGTCTTTGTATTCTATTTACTTACATGAATATATACACTTACAGACTTAGAAACTTCCTAGATCTCATGTAGGAATTATTGAGGATAGCTAGGGCAAGCTGTTTGTAGCAGGTAAGTCTTAAGTATTAATTAGGCTTTTCCATTGGAATGAAATTTTATTGGTGTGTTTTGTACCTTATATTTACTTCTTTTCAGATCATGATAAAATGTGAATACAATTTACTATTTTATCCATTTTTAAGTGTACAGTTCAGTGGCGTTAAGTATATTCACATTGTGCAGCCAATACGATCCATCTCCAGAACTGTTTTCATATTCCCAAACTCTGTACTTATTAAACAGCAACCATCACTCTCACATCCTCCCAGCCCTTTGCAACCTTATTCTACCTTCCATTTTTATGAATTCATCTACTCTGCTTTAGATCCTTTTATGAATATAGTTGTACAGTACTTGTCCTTTTGTGATTGGAGTATTTCACTTAGCAGTTTCCTCAAGGTTCAATCCATGTTGTGGTATGTGTCAGAGTTTCCTTCTTTTTTAAAGCTGAATAATATTCCATTATGTGTATATACTGCATTTTGTTTATCTATTTATCTGTTGACAAATTCTGAGTTGCTTCCACATTTCGGCTAATGTGAATAATGCTGCTGTGGACATTGGTGTACAAATATTTGTAGAGTCCTCAATTTCAATTATTTTGAGTATACGGTATATACCTAGAAGTGCTAAATCATATGGTAATTCTGTTAATTATTTTAAGAATATTGTTTTTTATAATACTGTATTGATCTAATTGATTCACAGAAGCTTCATCATTTAACATTCCCATCCGCAATATACAAGGGTCCCATTTTAACCACTTTCTACACTTATTATTTTCTTGGAGTGTGTTTTGTTTGCATTTTTGTTTTGTTTTTTTGTATTAGTCATCCTGATAGGTGTGAGGTTGTATTGCCTTGCAGATTTGATTTGTGATTTCCTAATGATTAACAATGCAGAGCATCTTTTCATTTTCTTTTTTAGCCATTGTATATCTTCTTTGGATGAATGTCACCTCTGGAAGTACCGAATTTAGATTTTATTCTGACACAACTCATATGTCTTAATATAGACTTTTTGGAATATCACCAATTCTTGGTTATTCTCTTTTCTTGAACAAATTGCTTGACTTAGAATCTAACACATATGCAAAGACAGAAGAGAGGGGAAAAATGCCAAGTCATACCTTTGAAAAATGGGCCATATAGAGAAGCAATTTCTTGCCATTTTGTTTTAGTTTCATATAAAGTACTGAATATATTTTGTTATCCTTTCTTATTATTCTACAAGTATACCTAAAAATGCTCCTGAATCTTTCATTAAAATGTCTGGTCAGCCAGAAGAGATATATTTAAACAGTTGTACCCCCAATGAAGTTGTTTCTGGATAAAGAACATGTGAAGGATCGTTTTATTTCATTTCCACAGTATTTTTTCTTTTGTTCCTAGTCAGAGAGTCGTTGAATAAAAATGTTAGTTTTATTGCTTATAGTGCATTCACTTACCACACAGGCACAGAACCATTTATGTTCACTTAGTTAAAATTCTTTTCGAAACCAAGTCTCTGAGACTGATCTGTTAAATCTAAGTTACATAGCTCATTTGTGCATAGATAGCACTGAGAGACATCTCTTGTTTCTACTCATTACCAGAATGTTGTAATGTCTTGTAAGCAGGTGAATTTTTTCAAATAAATATTTCAATTGGCTCTCTGCTTGAGTCTTGTCTTTTTTTTTTTAACAGAACTATATCTACCTGTTTTCTTTAACAGTTGTTTCGAGAAGTAAGAATAATGAAGATACTGAATCATCCTAATATAGGTATGCAATTTATATATACAATTAATGACAAAGCATTATCCTTAATTTGAGGGTATTTGAAAAGGTCCAATGTTAAGGATGCTTTATATAAACTGAAAAAAAGTGATAACCTGGGAAAGTGATACATTGTATAAAAAAAGATGATAAGGAAGTTAACTGAAGATTACAAATTATGTTTTTTACTATCTTGATGTCTTCTGCTTATCACCAGAATAATTAGTATAACTTGGAGCTAATACATACAAATATTTTTTACCTCCTTACTAAATCTGGGTACAGAGAGATTGCATTCCATTTACATGTTTATAAGATATGAATTCCAGATATTTTGATAATATGCACTTGAGTGCATATTATCAAAATATGATAAGCAAAAGAACTTTGCATTTTAAAGAAAATGCTTACATTCAGTTTCAATGGATTTGGTTTTTGTGAGTTCTGATTTTCTCCATCTTTACAAAAAAAATTTATAGATCAGATATATTATTATACATAATTATAAAAAGTAAAAACCATGTAGTGCATGCTTATAATCCCAGCAGCTTGAGGGCCTGAGACAGGAGGATGGTGAGTTCAAAACCAGCCTCAGCAAAGCGAGGCATTAGCAACTCAGGAAGATACTGTCTCTAAATAAAAAACATGAAATAGGGCTGGGGATGTGACTCGGCAGTCAAGTGCCCCTGAGTTCAATCCTTGGTATCCTCCCAGTTATTTAAAAATCTGCTCATTTTTATACACTTGTTTCTTGAGCGTTTAGAAATCTTATTTGTATATAGCTATTGTGATTATTTGTGGTGAAGACTTTCAACTGTGTAAGTCTAATTTAGTTTCTTTTGCCAGACACTTTTATAGTATCACATAAATTTAGATTTTTTTTTTTTTTGTATCAAAGTTCGCTTAGTTTTTTATGAGACCTCATTACAACATAGTCTGTTTTTAAGCTTTGGTTAAACTTTTATATTTCTGATTTTTAAGATTTCACTTTTATTAACTTACTCTTAATTAGAAAAGGTAATTTTTTTTAATCTTAGAAACTTTTTTCACTTAAGAAGTTTGGGCATATACTTTTCTTCTGTAGGAGTAATACTCTTGAGAGACTTTTTGAGTTTCAAGTTGTAGTTAAACATTTTTAGCAAATACTCCAATTTTCCACTTGTTTAGTGTTACATTAGATTTGCTTAGCATATCCATTCTGTGCTAACAATCATAAAGTTATATCTTTAATTTTTTTTACAGTGAAATTATTTGAAGTTATAGAAACTGAGAAGACCCTCTATTTAGTCATGGAGTATGCAAGTGGGGGTAAGAAATGAGGGGGATTGAAAAGTTCCCTTTAATGACACAGAATTAATAACACCTAACAGTTCAGCATGACATTTGCTTTCAGTGTTATAAACCAATCTATAATTTATTAAAATGCCTTTAAAAATTATAATCTTAAGGAAAATTCAGTGTTTGTTTTCAAGACCTTTTAGTCCTACATTATAAATAGAAGTTTTGGCTTATTTAAAAAATACTTAGGGACTTTTTTTGTTTTGGAATCTTTTGACTGTTTTGATTTGCATATTTAAATACAATATATTATGATTAGGAACTCTTGGCTCTAAATAGAATCTCAGTACAGAAAATACTGAGATTTAATCAAGTCTATAGTAAAAGTATGTTTGAGGTCATATGTTTATTTCACTGACTGTTCACGTGTGACAGATTTTTCAATTTATGTACTTTTCCAAAATAATCCATAAAATGTTTCAATTTAAATAAGTATCTATATATTTTATATTAGAGCACTGCCTTGACAAGGAGATAGAAAGATACATATGTAGATTTTTAAGTGCTGAGATATAATAGAAAATCACATTTATTTTCTTCGTATAACAATACATTGACTCAAAATTATTATTATTAGGACTTCTCTGGAATTTATTTAAAATTTATGGAATTAAATCATTTAACAAGTAAAAAAAAGAGTACCTAAAGAAACATTTTGAAGACCTAGAGAACTTAAGCAACTGGAAAAGAAAGGATAGCTGAAATTACTTGGTTGTTTAACTTTTTGTGTTCAACAGAAAAACTTAGTGTTTAACTTAATATTTAGTCCTTTTAACTTGTAAAGTTAATAGATTTTATGGTGATGCATATTTTACGCACACTGGAATACAGAGGGATTTACTCTAGTCTGTAGCATGTACACTATATATTTTTATATGGTCTCAGATTTCTAGGAATTTTACTATAAATATTAAACATACTTGATTACATTTTCAGTGATTTATACAGATCAGATGTTTTAGTGGATTTGCTTTTTATGAAACTTTTTCACTCTGAAAATATTTTGATATAGGTTTTTTTAATTTAACATGAAAATCTGGGTCAGTAATGCTTATTATTACTGGATTTTTATAATTTATTATTTATATAGTCATGCAAATTTGCATAAAACAGATCTATAATAAAAGTAATAAACCTGCAAATATCACATAGTGAATTTTTATTTTTCTATCCTTTAGTTAGATATGAGAACCTGGAATGTTATTTTTAGTTCATTTAGACTATTTTTTTTTTTTAAGGAAAAATAGTTTGGGGCTAGACATGCTTTGAAATGAGAAATTATAGGGCATTAAAATCTATGCATACCTTTCTGTGGTTGTGAAGGTCCACCACAAGGCTGGGTTAATATTAATATAAGAGCTGATTTAACTGTTACCGGCATGTACAGTCAAGTCTCTATTGGTGCTAATGAAAGGGAGTGATGGAGGAACATCACAGGGTCATCACTGCTTTCCTTTAGTGGCATAGCTGGGAGGGGCAGCAGGGAGTGGGATAGAGAAATGGGTTCTGGCATTCTACCCAATCCAGCCAGTCTCTCATTCAATTCTTTTACCTGGTGGTAACTTTTCGTTGGTTCTTGCTGATCAGTGATTCTGTAACACAACTATCATGGTTCTTTGGTAGTAAATATAGAATCATTTTCTTGCCCTTTAAATCCATAAATGGCATGGTGACTATGGAAAATAAAACACTTAATATTTTTCATCTGAAATATCTAGATACTTTAAGATTGAATGTGACATGCACACTAGAAATTCAGCGTGAACAAGAGCTGAGTCAGACAGCTACCTCTTTGCCAGGAGTTGATTACTTGATTCTTATTCACTAATGGATTTTCAGTGATTAGGAAATTAGGGAAATCCTTCATGATTTTTGAAGCATATTTAATCCAAAGGAACCTATAAAAAATAGGTGTCAGCGCTACTCTGAAATAGTGTATTTATTCCTTCTTTTGTTCATGCCAACAGTATTTATTAAACATTTACCAGGTAATATTCTAGGTCCTGGGAATAAACAAATGAGCAAAGTTAAAGTCTCTGCCCTCAGGAAGATTACAGTAGAGTTGAAGAAGCAAATCATACACCAACAGTATATGATAAGTGAAGAGCTAAGTTACATAAATATCTGAAGTACAAGCAATCTAGGAATAACTTATGAATAAATCCAAATTTTTGAAATCTTGCAGACATCTTTTCTAGCCTCAATCTATATATCTAGAATTAACTACTTTGATGGGTTAACTGAAATTAACATTAACACATATCTAGAATTAACTGCTTTGATGAGTCAACTAGAGCATCCATTCATTTCTCTGTTCTCATCCCATTTAATCACTTATGTATTCTTGATATAATATGCTGTTCAGCATTGTAGATATATAAATTCATCTGACATATCCATTACATATTTGATTTTTAATATTTTGCTTATATCCTAGGATTGATATTGCATATATGTATATGTAATATATTTGTATACCTAGGCACAAAGATATCATTTATTGAGTGCTTACTATATGCCAGTCATTGTGCCAAGCACATGCATTATTTCATTTATTCCTCACACCAGCCATGTGAATAGGCAGTTAATGAAGTTTAGAAATCTAAATGTTTTCTAGTAGCTACTTAGAATTCATGCCAAAATTGGTCATATTCTAAAGCTTGAGTTTTAACTACTCTGCTGTACTTTACAAGAACTCTTTAAATCATTTTGCAGAATTTTAATATTCATGTATGTCTATATAGTGTAAATTACAAGGACATAAAATAAAATTTTCTCTGACACTGAGATAACTTTTTTAATATTGTAATTAAACATTATTTGTTTTCTAAACTATTACTGATGAGGGAAAAATGAAAAAAAAAAAAAACTAGGAACATGTGAATAATGGATCCAGCAAAAATTTTCTTCAGCTTCTAGTTATTTTCAAATTATTTCAAGACATATTTGTTGCCTATGCACTTTGTATTCTGTCATGGAGATGAAGATACAAATAAAGTACAGATATTATGAAGTTGTTCAAGTAGTTTGCAGTTCTTTGGGTATAATAGAGATATATTCAAGGATTATTTAATTCTGCATAATTTGTAGTTAGCTACCAAAATAAATGAGTAAGAAAAGCATAATCAGAATATCGAAAGGAAAAGAAAGAAGTCAATGTGGTAATTAAGTAGTGAGATGGAATTTGACCAAGACTATATTATGCATAGAAACAGAAAGCCAACATAATATGACTTTATTTTGTTTGAAATGGAGGCCCCAATACAAAGCCAAATATAATTTTTGATTGCCCATGCTGTGGCTTCCCTTTATTAGCATGGATAATAAAGAATTGACTATATTTTTACATAATGCCTGAAAGCAGAAAATGAATTTTCTTGGTTATGTTTTTATAATTTTTAAAAGAATTTTGTTAAATCATACATTGCTGCTCAATTCTATATGGGATTTTTCCTTTTCTTTTTAAATTTTTTTTCCTACTTGTATATTAGGTTGTGACTTACACAGACATAAGCAGAAAATTGTGGGCCAAAAGTTTCTTTATAAATAAGGCAAAGTCTTGATATTGTATATATTGTTA